TCTAAAATAGGGGTGTGGATGTGATACCAAAGGGGGGTGCAGTGGTGGGGTACCTTCTTCACTCGCATACAACGAATTGTCATCATAGCTGCCCGCATTTGGGCCATCTTTCAGTCTCAATACAGCAATAATGAGCATACATTGTGTTCGTGTGAAGAAGGTAGTTACCTCAGTTTAGTTACAGAGAAGTTTCGGAGACTTAGATTTTGCAAAGACATAAGAGAAGCCCATCCTGAGTTGTTTTTTTTTTTTTTGTTTTTTTTTTTTTGAAGGCAAATTCCTTGAATTGCTTAACAAATGTGTCGTCCCTTTTTACTAGTGCACTGTCGGACAGGTGCTCAGCGACGAATGAGCAGCCAAATCGGGACCAAATGCATCCGCCAGCTGCTGCCCCACTGGCCCTACCGTCTTCCCCTGAACACAACGCACCCTCATTTTGGCTGTATCTGGCCGGAAATACAACTTGTATACATTCATTTTAACGGTGCGTCGGGGGAAGACAGTAGTTTCTCACCAGATGAGCCCCCAGGCCGAGGCCGGGTTTGGTTAAAAGATCGTCCATGGTGCTCTGGGGTTCGACTCTACCGATCCGTATCAGTGGCAAGTGTGAGCATTGGTGATATGACATTACTGTGATGTCGCCGTGACTGTGAAGGTACTGTGAAGGTACTGCGAAGTTACTGCGAAGTTACTGTGAAGTTACTGTGAAGTTATTGTGAAGTTATTCTGTGAAGTTACTGTGTTACTGTGAAGTTACTGTGAAGTTACTGTGAAGTTACTCTGTGAAGTTACTCTGTGAAGTTACTCTGTGAAGTTACTGTGATTTACTGTGTTACTGTGAAGTTACTCTGTGAAGTTACTGTGAGGTTACTGTGAAGTTACTCTGTGAAGTTACTGTGAAGTTACTGTGAAGTTACTCTGTGAAGTTACTCTGTGAAGTTACTCTGTGAAGTTACTGTGAAGGTACTGTGAGGGTACTGTGGTACTGTGAGGGTACTGTGAAGGTACGGTGAACGAATGGACAACATGACTATATAGAGGGTAAGCTACCGTCGTCCACCGAACATAACGCACGCTTAAAATGAATGTATAGAAGTTATATTTCCGGCCAGATACAACCAAAATGAGGGTGCGTTGTGTTTGGGGGAAGACGGTAGCTTTACTTTCTCACTCTACTCTTCTGCAGCTAGTATGAACTGGAAGATATAACTGAACTGTGTCTTCGCCCGGATCGACTGCCCAGTCATTCATTATAGCTGCATCTACACTGAAATTTGTAACAAATACAGCTACAATGAATGGGCGTTGTATTCGGGTGAAGAGTCTGAAGACTACAAAGTTGTTCAAACACAAGGTGGTTAGATAGCGTTTCACATCTTTTTAACCACCAGTGCCAAATGGGCGTTTTTCTCCTGTAGTTTTTTTTTTTTTTTTTTTTTTGC